CGACTTTTCGTTCCTCTTATATGACTTTTTATCTTTACTTTCTTGTGACTCTACTCTTTTTTCTCACTTTTAGCCATCTCACTATTTTCTCTCTTGCTCTCTTTTTGTGAAAGATCAATCTCACTCCCTTTTTCTCTCAATCTTTTTTCTTCCTCACTTTTCAATATGATTTGATCTCTATACACTTGTTGTGGTGTTAACGATGCAAGAGTAATAGATTTCTCATCCTTAGTAAAGCTGTACATATTTTTATGCCCATGATGAATCACTTTCCTATCATATTGACATGACCTCATCAACAAGATATACCCGACATGCATATGAACTACATCACACATTACTTCATCATGCTACCTCCCAATTGAGAAACTTACCAACACTCTCCAATTTACCTTAACCTCTCCACATTCATTCAATCATTGCAATTTGTAAAACCTATGATGTTTTAGCATAGTTACCCCCATCAATAATCATACTACATACCTTATTGTTGACATGGCATCTCGTATTAAATATGTTCTCCCTTTATTGCTCCAAGTCATCTACTTTGATTTGACCACTAAGAGCTCGTCGTATAACCAGCAGCTCCCCCACTGCATACTCTACATTCTCACCATCACTATCACTTATCACACAAGATCATCACCATTTTGTTTTGGACATTGAGAAGCAATGTGTCCTGATCTCAAGCACATAAAGCACTTGATATCTCAATTTCGAGGGGGTTGGGATTCCGTCTTAAGTGTAGCTTTGCTAGAAACTTCTTCTCTTCCCTTTGATAGCTCAGTTTTACCTTTTGAAATAGTCCATCACCTTTATTATTATCTCACTTCGGTTTTCAAGAAGAGTTAGAACCCAATGAATATCTAGATGTCCCATTCCTCTTCAATTGCCTTTCCACCTTCATAGCTACATGTATCATGTCTTCCAACTCCACATAATGTTGCAACTCTACCACATTAGCTATCTCCATATTCAAAACATTCAAAAATCGGGCCATGGTGGCATCCATATTCCCCTCCACATTCGTTCTATTCACAGCAATCTCCATCTCCTTATGATAATTCTCCACACTCAGAGAACCTTGGTAGAGGCTTTGTAACTTTTGATAAAGCTCTCTATAATAATGATTAGGTACGAACCTTTTCAGCATGATAGCTTTCAATTCTTCCCATGAATTAATAAGCCTCTCACGGTTTCTCCTCCTAGATGTCACTGCCTAATCCCACCAAATGATAGCATAATCAATAAATCCAATTACCACAATCTTTACCTTCTTTTCCTCCGAGTAGTTGTGGCAATCAAATATCAACTCTACTTTCTTTTCCTACTCCAAGTATGCCTCGGGATCACTCATTCCTTTGAATAAAAGAATTTTTATTTTGATATTGCCCATACTTCTATCAACACCATCTCCAACAGGATCTCCACCCCTCATTTCATGCCTAACTCATCTATCCCTCATTCTTCCTAATTCGACATCCACCAGTACATCCTCATTTATGTCACTATCTGCTTCACATTTACTAGCAAAATTCGCTCTATGATCCTGCCTACCTTGCCTCCTTATGTTATGAACTTCTCTAGATTGTTCCCTACGCAAATTAGCAAGCAATATGTCTTGCCTCTTCATTCACGCCTCTTGCTTGTCCATTCTATCTTCCATATCACCAAAAAATGAAATCTAGTTTAATATTTGCCTCACGTGTGTAAACTCGTGTATCACTCAATTTGGATTTTTCCCTCTATTAGTCTCACCACTCTATCTTTTTCCATTCAATGCTTTCTTGCAAGTGCTTCAAAAACTTAATTCGGTCTCAATCAAAATTAAACCCTTGTGGAAAACAAAAAATGAGTAAGGAAAGTGATCTAGAATGATTCAAAAAGGTAGAAATTTGAAATTTGAATGAAAGGCTATGGATAAATTCAAAAAAATATTTTTTGAATTTGAATTTGACACTTTTGGATTTGGATTTTTTTTTTACTCGAAAATTCAACTAGATACCAGCAAAATAAACAGAAACTGATTTGGATACTAGATTAGCAAACTAACAAGTTTTGAAAATTTTTTGGTATTTTATGGACTAGAAAAAAAAATGAATAACGCGAATAACATGAAGAATGAAAAACAAACGATTCAAATAAAAGGGGGGGAAAACAAATGATATAACCTTGATTTTTGGAGTCTTACTCTGATCCCAACTGATACGAACTCACGTAGCAATAGTAGCTATGAAAACAACGACAAATTAGAACAAACCTAAGAAAGTCAAGAGTCAACGTTTGATAAACTTGACCCAATAAATTATTGAACCAAAGAACCAAAACAATCGCTACTAATATCTTGACCCCGTGATCACAAAACTTATGAACCTTACTTATATTGTAAAACTCCACAGTAATTTAATTCTTGATTAGTTCAAAATTAATTAATGAAGAGCGAGAAGACAACAATATGCCTCGTAATATTATCTTTCAAATTGTATCTTTTTACAATAAATGTAATGAGTCCTATTTGTAAGGAACCCATAAAACCTACTTAAAAATGAAATCAATAATCAAAATATCAAGAATTACCATAAAACTAAAAGTTTTAAATAAAATAAGATTCTTTCCAAAAATTGAGAAATTCGGTGCCGAACTTGTACTATGCAGCTGCATAGTGTATGGGCATGCGGTTGCATAGTTCACCCAAAAATATCACTCTAATTCTCGGTATAGAGGCATGGTAAGTATGCGGTCGTATAGTTACTTTTTCTAGCCTTCTCATCCGTTGCTTGAACCAGGTTGATTTATCTTATTTCTTCTTCTAAACCCAACATGAAACTTGTTCATTTACTTGTTGTGATCAATGTTTCATCCACCGTAACTTCAACAAGCAATCACAGTCTCCTTGACCTTCTGTGCCCGCGACCTCGTCATTGGTTATTCCTCAACGACCAATGGATCATTGCATGAACTCATCCTCATATCCTGGATCACATCACTAAAAGAAAAACGGCAGGGCAGTCATACTCAAAAGAAGAGTTTAATCCTAGCTTAGAAGGAATGGTAATTATATGCTTAACACATACATGTCGAACATTATTTTCGAGGAGTTAGGCAGAAGGAAAAGGGGTTTCTAGCTAAAGGTAGCTTGTCTAGTGCAGGATGTGGATAAGAGTTGAGAACAATCCAACAACTCACCTAAATTCTACTTACCCAAAATCTTTAGATTCTTCGATTTGTCAGAAAAGAAACGAAAGATAAGAAAACATCTTTAATTAAAATTAAAAGGAACAAGCTCAAATAGACTAGCGATGTCTAATAGAACTCATCTCTATAACCCACATTAACATTTTACATCGTGACTATCATAATTCAATTCGTAGCTGTTGATGTTTATACCGAGAATTTTTTATCTAAATCAATAATAAATGAATAATTATTTTTTTTGGGTTACACTATCTATTGAAAAGTAATACGAAGTCAAATTTACTTCACAAAGCGAGATTAGCGTTGATCTACTAGCACGTTCTTTTAGACTCACGTCCCTTCTCCGAGTGAAAACGTGTTTACGTGTCCTTTTTAGGTAAAACTTTGTAGGATTGAAATAACCACTAATATTACTTTTTGATTCGTATATTATCATAATGTCTAGTCAAGAATATATCTTAAACCACCATCATGAATGACAAGAAATCTTTAAAAGAATTTCAACACACGTCTCTAAAGCCCCTATTTGACAATCATTATTCGAGAAAAACAGAATTTTGAATAGTTATTTTTAGGAAAATATGTTATTAAAAAATAGAGAAATTTTTTAGTTTACATGCATAGTATTTTATTGTGTAAATATGTGGTTGAAAATTAGTATGTAAAAAAAAATTGAAAATCATGGTGGTCAAACAGAACTAAATACAAAAATATATATTAGGAAATGACTATCTACCTAACATGTTTGTTCCCTGACATTTCTTTCCACACGTTTTGTGATGTTTTTTTTTTTTTTTTCTCACGTTGCTGTCTTAGTTAAACTTAGCAAATTAAATCATGCTACTTGTATTGTCTTTGTTGACAATATTAATTACCAACGTTCTAATTAACAGCATCACATTCATCTATTTTAAAAGCTATTTTTTACATTCAATTTCGACAACAAATGATTCTCAATTAAAATTGTCAATCATGTTTATACATTTAGCTTTATTATGGCCTATTTGTTCAATAGTCACTTCAATAAACAAAACTAGAAAACAAACCGACTTCCTTCAAAACTAACCACAAAATGAAGTGTCAACTTCATTTTGCAGCTGGAATTCTTTTAGAAACAAACCATTTTCTTGAAGTTTGTACTAATATGGAAATATCATTTTCTCCATATAAGTTCTGTAACAGAAAGATTGTTCCTTCTTTTTTAATCTCTTCGCAAAAAACTTACTCGGTAAGAAAATAACTTTAAAATTATGTTTCATAAAACAAGTTAAAAAGTAAATTTTAAGCCGAACCGAACCAAAGCATGTTCGTATTACTCGCATTTGCAAAAATGGCACAAGTATTGTAATCACACCTTTCAGCTAAACTGACTCTGAATTGAGTAGAATAAATCATTTAATCGACCACAGATTTATTAATAAAGTGGTAAAAAATGGCATTTCAGGAAGAACAAGCAGTCATGAACAAACACGGGAAAATAACACCAGTATACAAAAATATCAAAATTTCAATCACCTAATCGGGATAAGAAGATAACCAACCAACTACTGAAACCATCAAATGAACTAAAATAAAGTCGAAACATCTTCTAGTCATTGCAAATCCATGAAAACATAGCAAGTCAAAACTATGTCCTGACAAGAGAACCTATATACTATAAACAAACAGAACATTGTATTAGTCTGTTCAAAAGATGTTTTTATAATCCTAGCATTACCTGCTGTATATCAAAATCTCAGCAGAAGGTTTTCATATTTGCTAACTACACATTATTGCAGAGAAACTATGATGAATGCATTCTACTATTACCCCACCGATGATGATGGCTGAGAGGTGCTGGATTCACGGGAAAGTAATTCAATCAACCTTTCCTGAGTTAATCGTTCTGATCCTTGCGACTTGACTACGAATGTGTGAAAAACTTTTTCACTCCCCGCAACAACCAATGACTGTAGGACAGTAGCATGTGCATCCTTGATTGCTTGGATGATCCTTGATATGGGGTGAGTGTTCAATGGGCTGCTTACCTTCACAAGGACTCTGTCACAGACAGTTTCAATTTCAATGTTGGCAATTGGGTCGTTCATTTCTGATTTTGGTTTAGCTTCCAAAGCCAATGACTCTCCCGAAGAGCTTCCAAGTTTTTCCTTATCGGACTCCATGTCCTTCAACTTCTTCTCGAGTTCATTTATGTAAGCTATAGCATCTCCCAAAAGCGAAGCTTTGTCCATCTTGGAGATATTCGGGACAACAGCTCGCAATGCATAGAATCGCTGGTTAAGCTTCTCCCGCCTTTGCCTCTCTGCCTGTATGTGATTGAGTGGCTCTTCTCTTCCATTGGCTGGCTTCCGGCCGCGCTTCTGAGGCCTATTCTCCTCCAATAGGCTTGGATGCTCTTTCTTGTTCAAAGCCTCATCATCTGAATGCTCAGACTCCACACTTATCAGCTGAGGAGTTATGGCCCTTGAGGTCGCTCCACTGAAATCAGTATGCACTTTTGCTGGTTTTTGTTGCTGAAAATTGTTGAGCTGAAACCCTTCCCTGGCCTTGTCGACAAGTTCATGTAATTTTTTTGCTGGGGCCTGAGCTCTGCCAATTTTCTGTAGGTTCCCTGGTTTTACATTGTTGAATTGTGTCCACATTGTAGCATCAAAACCATTCACAGTGTTTGCAAATGACAATTTGTTCCCACTAGGAGACACATCTCGTTGCCTGTCTTCCAATTTCCCGATAGAAAGGTTGACCCCCAATTCTGCACGTCCTGATTCTAAATCCTTCCCAGACAACTTAGGAACTACTTGTGGTTTATTACCAATTGCCAAGTTACACATAGGGTCGTCTCCATTTTTTTTGTCAGTTACTGCCGTCACAGCCGCAGATTTCTCGGCCATACCTCGCAATGAAAATGATGAAAAGGAAGATCCTACTATCTGCAATAACTCTAAGTTTTCCGGGATGGATCGCATTGATCCTAACTCCACCACCCCAACATCAGTCGGAATCAAAACGATTGTTTGCATACCAGCAGACTTTGCAAGGAATGACCTGACATAAAAATCAAGTGATGACTTAAATACATCCGATATCCAGACATGCTTCCCAGAGTCAAAACACTTCCCCGGACCACCTTCTCCTTTACGGAAGGAAAAGTACATCGATACAAGGAAGAATATTTCAGTATCTGTAACCTTATCCAATACAAAAGCATAATTATCCTCGTTAATTCCCCCAAACAAATTGTGCAGCATCTGCAAAACCCTTTTCCTCATCCATTGTTGAGTCTCGTACCCAATTCTTGGTTTGAAGATAAAACTAATTGCCGACTCCTCGCCTTCACGAGGCTCTCGACAACACCCATCTCCCCATCCCAAGACCAAGTCGCCAGACTTAGAGTACGAAAGTTGCCAGAAAATCGCATAGTTCCAACTAAAATTGGCTGCATTAGGACGCTCCACAAGATCTGAAAGCTTATTCTGCAAATTCTCACCATTCCCCAGAGACATCAATGAGCATTCCGCCGAAACTGACCTCGAAATCAAGAAATCGAATGCCTTAGTTCCCAAAACCGCAGCCGCCACAGCCTTATCTTCATCATTTAATACAATATTCCTCGTTACCACGCCTAGTTTCATCTTTGAACTCAGGCCAAAAACAAAAATAACTCCAACTTTTGCTACCCAGTTACCAAATTACACAGCAAAGTTCAATTTCTATACATGCAAGAATTCTACAAACCAATCCAGAACAAACCCATTTCAGCACTTAGAACAAAATTTGATCTTTCTCGACAATTATCCACTCAGCAAAAACTCTAGCATCATATCTCAAAAGACCATAAATCTACACAAAACAAGAAAACCAACACAATTACACTTGTATATAAGTTTTAATTGCACCACAAAACCAAAAAAATAATAAAATAAAGAACAGAGATTGAACAAGAATACGCACCAGTATTCCATTTTCTGGTCCAGGGATTTCTGCGAATGTGAAAGCTTACTAGGGAAACTTTTGAGTTTCCCATAAAACAAATCTTATTCTTCTGTTTACACGTTAAGCCTCTCTTTCGTCTCTCCCCCTACGAAAGGAAAAATAATGAGAGGAGTGTGGCTTAAAAGAGGAGGAAAGGAACCATGGTTAGGTAAAAAAGGTGCAAGAATTAATCTCGTGCTTGTTTTTATCTTAATAAGCATTCATTGATGCTATCTACAATTATTATTTTATTTATTATTCACATATTTATAATTACTCAAATTTTTATTTGCACAATCTCAAATATTATATAATTTTTTTCCTACTCATTTCTTTTTTCAATTCAATGCTTTAAATAAAATACAACCTAATTTTTAGAATTAGGCGCGAACGACAAAAATTAGGGAAATGTTGGAAAACTATTAATTGTTTCATTTTTAATAAATAATATATATAATTTTTTTGCTACGATGAAACAATTAAAAGACGTTTGGTATATAAATAATTAATAGCAATTACTTTGTTCCCTAAATATAATTCATTTTTCGATATTTGTCATTATTTCAGAACCACCACTATTATTTTATTAGGTTGAATATACTATTTGTACGAATTGTTTTTATGAATCGAATCTGTCATACGTGCTTAACACCGTTTTATTTCGTACTTCACTCTAAAAATTTTAGTAACATTTTTCTAATTTATTTTGCTGATACTTATAGGCACCCGGACCACATTTCAAAGACTCGCAAATACTTATTAAAAACTCATTTCTATATATTTATAATATAAGTTGTTTAATCTTATTTAAAAAAAAAAAACTAGTCAATATTTTTTTAAGCAAAAATCAAAAACACTAAAGATTTTCCAAAATTATTATCTTGCATAATTTATGAAAATAAATTAATTGAGATAATTCTAGACTTAACCACGTGGTTTAATACTTAAAATAAATCTTCAAACCATCTCTGGGAACTAAAAATGGAATCATATTCTTAGGCTTCATTTATTGTAAAATAACTTGTTTTGATAAATGGACCACCTTATTTATTTCACTTATAATAAAAATAAAAAAATATTATTTATTATACTATAGTATTAGTTCGGCTAGTTAATGATCTTTTGTCAGCTATAACGTAACATAATTCTAGAAAATTAATTTAATATGCAAAATTAAAAGAAAAAACAACATGAAGCGAATTGAAGGCACGTGTATTTTGCTGTCGTCATTTGTTACACGTTTCTGTCCTAAGGGGGTTCATCAATTGCACGTGATAGCATCGTGCACACATTTACTTTTTCCCTCATTTTACTATTTTTGGAAAATGCGGTTCGGCGTGAGCCTTCTTATCTCCTCCAACAAACTTTGTCTCTGTTCTACAGTTCCACGCATCACTCGTTTTTTGTTTTGTGTCGGCAAAAAGGGTGTGTTTGGTTTCACCGATAAAGGAAACGTCAAAGAAAATTTGTTTAAGCTTTCAGTCGAACACAAATTGAGATGGTTTAAATATGTTGAGAGTAATAATGTCGCTCTTAAATTCATCCAAGTGACATTGATATAATCTCATAATCGATTTACAGTCTTTTCTCATTAAAAGTCGACTGATTTTTAGATGATATGTTTAGAGCTCGATCATAGAAGACAAAATGAAAAGACATTCAAATGTAATGGAAACTTGTTTTTATGTGTTTGGTCGAATGCAAATTGAAAATGGATTAAATAATTTATAAGAATCAAATCACCGCTAAATTTATTCTTTTGATTAAAACTAACAATAGCTATATGCATGTAATATTCCGATTCTTTATGCACAACTTAGACGCAAAATTTGAGAACAAGAGGGATTTTTGATAAGTAACATTCTATCTCCTTAAAAAACCCACTTGTTCTCGATGGTTTTTTTGTTAAATAATTTACACCCATTTCTTCGTTTCCAATATGTGATCGAATGTGAAAAAGCATTGAATCTTTATTGCATTTGACCTTAAACGCCATTATTTTCACCGTCGAGTTATTTTCGAAGTTGCTCGACAAGTCAACTATGTGGAGCTTCATTTTCTTTATCAATTCTTCAAGCACGTTCACCAACCAGTCACAACTATAACCAATAAACCAAATGAATTATTTATTTCTAATTGAATAGTGCTGTCCACTACATTTGACCAAGACTGAAGATGAATCTTAGGATCTTTACACAATATTCATTCCATTTCTTAATTTTAACTTCATTAGGCGCTTGAAAATCTTTTTCATTATTGCAGTGCAACCTATAAAGTTTTATGCCACCAGCCGTGTTGATGCTTTTTCTATAGGTTGCAAATCCCTTCGGTTCCTTATGGCCACAGTCAATCAGTATCAAATTGGTAGGGACAGGAACACATGATATTATGTTGAGAAGCTACAAGAAAATTGAAAGTTACTAGTTTAACCCAAAAATCGTCTAACAACTGAATAAAGCGGATTTAAATTTATTAATTAAAAACAACAAGTCACTTTTTAATTGTTCTACATGTTTAGTTAATCAAGTCAAGTTATCATATATTAAATTGTTGTAATAAATAATTAAAGCAATAAATAATACAATAAGAACTTATAATATGATCTAGCCTAGAAAACCCACCAGACCCGCTAATCTTATTCCTCTAATCTCCAAGACCCGCTAAAACGTGCTTCATCACATCTGCCCCCAATATTCTGGAATTATCTATCTCTTGTGGAACACAAAGAACGCTTCATTCTTGTACTCTTCACGTGCTTATAGTCCAACCTGCCTCAATTTTCAGCAACCTCTCAAAGGTAATGAGAAAGTACATTTCTGATGATAACTAGGATGTTGGTGTTTTGAATTATAATAAATCGATGTTTTTCTCAAACTTGTGGTTGATTGATCTCAAGAATCAAAAGGTTAATTTAGATTGTTGGATGTGTTCTTAAATTTTGGAATGATGTTATAAAGATGTAAAATAATGATTAACCACAAAAAAAAATGTACTGGGCATTGGATATTTATAAGAGGGGAAGTTTAAGTAGTATATGATAGATAAAACACAAACTGAGTTTCTTAGACAACACCGTTGCTCGAGCACCACGCGAGCGAGAGACACATTGCTCGAGCAAGAGCCGGGTGACACGCGGGCTACAATGATTCTGCTTTGGATGCTCGAGTATCAGCTAGGCGATAGACTAGCTTAAATCCGACGACTCTTTCTTCTTGTTCCATATTCGAACCCAAAAACTCCTAATTCATCTATACAACTCTTCAAAAGACTACTTGACTTTTACGACTCTTTTGTAGCAATTCTATTTTTTTACAATACTCATTTTGCTTAAAGAATTGCCAATACAACTAAAAACCTAACGATCTCCCCCTTAAACATTCTGTAACAAAACTATACAATACAAGTCAATGATGTAAAAACAAAACTAATGTACCCAAACTTAAACTGAATGTCTGTCTCTTACATTTATTGAAACCTATTTCCTAAAATTATTCATTCCGTTGGCTTAATTTTAACTTCATTAGGCGCTTGAAAATCTTTCTCATTATTACAGTGCAATCTATAAAGGTTTATGCCACCAGCCTTGTTGATACTTTTTTTTACAGCTTGCAAATCCCTTTGGTTCCTTATGGCCACAGTCAATCAGTATCAAATTGGTAGGGCCAAGAACACATGATATTATGTTGAGAAGCAACAATAAAACTGAAAGTTACTAGTTTAACCCAAAAATCATCTAACAACTGAATAAAGCGGAATTAAATTTATCAATTAAAACAACAAGTCACTTTTTAATTGTTCTAGATGTTTAGTCAATCAAGTCAAGTTATCCTACATTAAATTGCCGCAATAAATAACACAATAAGAACTTATAATATGATCTAGCCTAGAAAACCTACTACACTCGCTGATCTAATTCCTCAAATCTCCAAGACCCGCTAAAACGTGCTTCACTCACATCTACCCCAAATCTTTGGAATTATCTATCTCCTGTAGAACACCAAGATCGCCTCATTCTTGTACTCTTCACGTGCTTCTGGTCCACCCTCCATCAATCTTCAACAACCTCTCAAAGTTATTGAGAAAGTACATTTCTGATGATATCTAGGAAGTTGGTGTTTTGAATTATAATAAATTGATGAATTTCTCAAACTTGTGGTTGATTGATCTCAAGAATCAAAAGGTTAATTTAGATTGTTGGATGTGTTCTTGGACTTTTGAATGATGTTGTGAAGATGCAAAATGATCAACAACAAAAAAAAATGTAATGGGCATTGGATATATATAGAGGGTGTTTGGTGAAGATTAAAATCAGATTTTAAGTGGATTGTGATAAAAGTTTTTGAAATATGTGGTTAAAAAAATGTGGGACCCATGAAAGATGTGATTGATATTGATTGTTTGATTTTGATTTAGATTAAAATTTGATCCAAACAGGCCCATAATAGGAGGAGTTTAAGTAGTATATGATAGATAAAATTCTTGAAAAAAGCAAACTGCGATTTTTTAGACAACACCATCGCTCGAACATCGGCGAGCGAGAGGTGCATCGTTGTAGCAAGAGCCTCGTGACAGGCGGTTTACAATGATTCTGCTTTGGATGCTCGAGTATCAGATAAGCGACATGCTAGCTTAAATTTGACGACTCTTTCTTCTTGTTCCC